GAGGGGAGGAGGAAGGGAGAGGAGGATGGGGGAGGAGGGGAGGAGAGGAGGGGGGGAGGAGGAGGAGGAGGGGAGGAGGAGGAGGAGAGGGGAGGAGGAGGAGGGAGAGAGCGAGGGAGGCTCGCGAGGAGGAGGAGGAGGCAGGAGGAGGAGGAGGAGGAGGAGGAGGTGGAGGAAGAGGGAGGAGGAGGAGGAGAGGGGACGGAGGAGGAGGAGGAGGTCGGACCGAGAGCGACGAGGAGCGAGGAGGAGGCGCGACGAGAACGACGCGGTTAGGGAGCAGGAGGCAGCCCCACCAGTCCAGTTTTCCAGTCCTTAGGAGGAACCAACATCCCGTTGACCCCGAAAATGCCGCGCTGCTCTAGACTTCTGAGAGCGCCGCTCGCGCTGCGCCTCCAGGCCGATCGCCGTTTGGGCGCGCGACCCTGGTGGGCGCCCCTGGGGGATTGGGCCCAGCGAGTCGCGCTGGGCCATCGCCCGCCCCGCCCGCCTCGCCGCCCCGCCCCCTCTCCCGCGAGCGGGTTGGCCTCTGCCTCGAGACCGGCCCGCCCTCCAGCGAGCGGCGCCGCCCGAGGCTCCGCGACCTCGGCCCGAATTCGCAGCGTCGCCTGGAGCGAGCTCTCGCCCCACCTTTCCCCGTAGACGGGCGGGGGGCAGGAGGGGCGAACGCCGCGGGGGCAGAGGGGGGGGGGGTCGAGGCGTGCGAGGCGACAGAGGGCCGAGAGGAGAGAACACTCTCTGGCACTGCACCTCGCGCGAGACGCGAGGCTAGACGGGCGCCCGGGTGCGTCCAGCCGTTGCCTATTGCTTCTGCTGCATCTCTGACGCGCGCGCGAGACCTCGCGCCCCAACGGCGCCCGAGGCGCTGGCCCCGCCACCCGCTCGATCTCCCGCGTCTCCACCGCGTGCTTGAACGCCGCCTGCCGCGTCGCAGCCGCCGCGGGCTCCCGCGGGCGCGCTGCCGCCGACAGGGCCCACTCGCCGTCGGCCGAGTCCTTGCGCGCCTTCCGATGGCGAAAGTGGAGGGCGTCCCGGCCAAGATACATGGCCATCTTCTGCGTGGCCACCGTCTCCCAATGCTTGCGAACTGGGCCGTGAACGGCCGCGCCCGCGCGGGGGCCGTCGACCGTGGTCATCGCCGTCATGTGGTGGGTTACTGCGACGAATGCTGCGACGCGCGGCGCTCCCTGCTCGCGGAAGTCGACCTGCTCGCCGTTCGTCTGCTTATCTTCCATCGTGGCCGACGCGCGATCGTGCTCCAAGCCGGCGCTGCGCGCCACCGTGCCGACGTCCGCCTCGGCGATCTCGGCGCAGGAGTAGCTCTCGTGCGCGGCCGACTCCATCGCCGCGATCTGGCGCGCGCCCGTCGTCGCCAGCCCGGCCAGCATGAGCGCCAGCATTTTGAAGTCGCCCTTCTGCCTTGCGCCCTCCCTCGCGCGCCTCGGGGTCGCCCTGGCCCTCCGATGGCGGGGCGGACTCCGCCGATCGCTTCATCCGCGACGGCGCCCCAATCTCCGGCAGGGCGGCGTCGATGTCCGAGCAAGTCGCTACCGGGCCGATCGCGCGTTAGTTTCCATGGACAATTGACCAACAGATGGCTACTACACTCTCGATAATTGCCCCCCTTCAAACTCACGCAACCCACGTCGACAGGTGGGCGACCCAACAGAGCTTCGCAATGGACATAGGCCCCCATGTCCCACGATAGCCGCGCACCATGGCACGATGTCAATGTCGGGCAGCAGTAGTTCATGATCGGAAGATTCTGTCGCAGATCGGGCAATGGTTGTCTCGGTGCGAACGTGTCCCAAATTTCGCACGCGACGCCGATGTCGGCGATGCTCCATCATACGCTTGGCTGCGCAGAAGGCCCGGGCACGCGGTTCGTCGTCTTCTAGAAGCGCCGTCTTGGACTTCTATGAGGGGGGGCGACGTTGGGGCGATTGGCGATGATATTGGATCATTTCTCCCCCCCCCCCCCCTCTTCCTCGAACCCTGGGGCCATTGCTTCGGTTTTTCTTCCCCCCCCCCCCCCCACTCCCCCCCCCCCGTTAACGCTGGGCGGGGGCGGGGGGGGCGGGGGCGTGGGGGGGGGGCGCGCGAGCCAGGGGGTGGGGGGGGGGGCGCCGCCGGGGACTTCTGACGTCCGCGGGCCCTCCGAAAATCCATGACCCGACTCTCCCAGTACCTCCCCCTCCTCAATAGGTGCCAGGGGCAGGCAGACAGCTGATCTAGCAGCTCAGCGTGGCCAGGGCATGCGCTGGCAACCGCGGCGCAATCTCCCCCGACTCGCTTCGCCCAAGGTGATGCCCACTCCGTTAGAGCAATTTCGGCACGTGGCGAACAATCGCGCCGTCCGAAGTGGCGCCCCGCGACACATGCGGCGAGTAGTTGTGCGCGTTCGTTTTGGCGAGGCGGCCAGCTCTGATGCGGTGCGAGGGGCAGGTCTGATGCCGCGCCGATCTTCTAGTCAGAAGTTCCCATTTGAAAATGGCCAGATCCCAATGCCGCAGGACTTCCTCAGTGGAAGGGGGGCGCTGCTTCGAACCGCCCTCTCTCTCTCAGTCTATTTCTCTTTATCTTTCTCTTTCTCTTTTTAATTTATTTCTGTTTATTTATTCATTCCTGTTTTTCCCCTCTCTCTCTCTCTTTCTCTCTCTTTCTCTTTCTCTCTCTCTCTCTCTCTCTATCCTCTCTCTCTCTCTCTCTCTCTCTCTCTCTCTCCTCTATCTCTCCTCTCCTCTCTCTCTCTCTCTCTCGTCTCTCCACTCTTCTCTCTCTCTTCTCTCCTCTCTTCTTCTCTCCTCTCTCTCTCTCTTCTCCTCGTCTCATCTCTCTCTTCTCTCTCTCTCTCTCTCTCTCTCTCTCTCTCTCCTCTCTCTCTCTCTCCTCTCTCTCTCTCTCCTCTCTCTCTCTCTCTCTCTCTCTCTCTCTCTCTCTCTCTCTCTCTCTCTCTCTCTCTCTCTCTCTCTCTCTCTCTCTCTCTCTCTCTCTCTCTCTCTTTCCTCTCCGGGCAGGCAGGGCCCTGCGTCGCAGCGCGGCCCAGGCGGGCGAGGCGACGACCCATCGCGCTCAGCCGTTGATGGCGGACGTCGGTGGCACCAGTGGGCCGCCCCGCTCTCGCCTCCAATCTGCCGCGGAGAGCTCCCGTGCCAGCGCGTCGCGCTGGGGCCCAGGTAGTTGTAAATGTCGCGGCCAAACTTCTCGATGTAGCGGGGGCGGCCCAAATCCTCGACCGTATCTCTGCTTCGCCCCGAATCGACGTCGCGCCGGTCGTCTCGATGAAACCATCGCGTCGGCCATTCTCCGCTCCTCCCACGCCTCCTGAATCAACTCGACATTAAACTATTTCTTCGCCCTCTGAGCTCGCCGCCTCTCCTTCGACTGCTTCCCTGTTCAACTTGTTCTCCACGTCGCCGGGGCCCTTCCCACCTCCACCAATCTGCAGACGAAGATCGCGACGAAGACGGAGCAAATCGCGACGACGTGTGAAGTCCGTAGCATTCGGGGCCAGGGCGCGGTTCGGGGCCAGGGGTGGACGAGAGAAAGCCCATGCCCAAATCGAATCAACATGCCCTCGAGCTGTTCGAAGAAAGAGCCCGCAGCCCCCGTCTGGGCAAGTTCTACTAACTCTTCTCGCCGCGTATTCAAGGCCGCAACAGTGTCCTTCAGAGAGGAGATCTTACCCGTGCCTTTTCGAATCGCCTGTAGAAGTGCAACAAAAAGAAACACATGCGCTGATGGGCCTGGGCGGGGAGGCCGGGAGGGTCCGTAACGTACTCCAACTCCAAACGAATAGGTAAGTGATCGCGAGGAGGTACCCCACGAATCGCCTGCAGCTTAGCACTTAATTCCCTCATAACCCCACAATGCCGAATTCTCGACTGATCTCCTTGCGCCAGGGCAAAATAATCCAGGCGGGAGGCCGAGGGCGGGTTCGACGACGAGTAGTGAGTGCACTTCTGAGGTAGGAAGGTGCCGGGAGCGAACCTGTGCTGCTCATCGAGAATTTTCCGCACTTCCCCTCCTGCTCCTCGACGACGGGCCTCCTCTGTCCTAGTGTCACCCACAGCTTCCGAAGGAGGACTGGTCCAGGAGCCCGAAACACGAGCAAACCCCAATCCGTCGTTCAAGTCGGAGAAAAATTGGGAGCGTGCGTGCGGGAAGTGCCTGGAGTAGGTTCCGCCACCAGTTTTTTCAAATTTGTGCCGCTCCAAAATAGGCCACCGCTCCAAAATAGGCCCCTGCCTGACCCTTATTGGCGGGTTGAAGCGGAAGGTACAAAACCCCGAAGGTTACGTGAATGGCCCCTCGTTTGGCTCTGGCTGTAATGGCACGACCCCCAGCTTGGGCAGGGGGTCCCCAGGTCTGAATCACGTCCTTGTCACGAAATCGAAAGCCCATACAGACAACACATCCCGAACTAGAGTTTGTACATGGGCCTGGCCGGTATACTGATTCCAAAACAAAGCGACCTACCACCCGCCTCCTGAGTACTCCTCCCCTTCTTCGACAACTCTCGTGCGTCCCAGCGAGAAGCATCAACAGCAGGCGTGGCGGTGATGTGGTCGGGCAGGCGAGTGCCCGTCGCGTACATCGGGTTAAACCCGACATGAGGGCCCCCGCGGGTGAGAAGTCCTGCGACCTTTCTGCACCTCCTGGCGGCGCAATGAGCCCCCGACTCGGGTCTCCGCTGAGCCAGGGGCCAGAGGGGCTGGACCAGGAGGAGGAGTAGGAGGAGGAGGAGGAAGAGGAGGAGGAGGAGGAGGAGGGAAGAGGAGGAGGGGGAGGAGGAGGAGGATCAGCAGGAGGAGGAGGGGGAGGAGGGGGAGGAGGAGGAGGAGCAGCAGGTGTAGAAAGAGGAGCGAGGAGGAGGAAGAACGTCCGCGTCCGGGCTCGCGTCGTCCGCACCCGGAGCCCCTTTCGTCTTCGCCCTCCCTGCCTCTGGACCTCCCTTCGACTGAGCCCCCATGAGGCGCGAAGGACGGGCCGGTGGGCGCCTCGCCGCGGCCAAGCCCCGCCACCTCGGGTCGGGTGTCTCCGCCCAGACTTGTTGACTTGTCATCGCTCGGACGTCCATTCCCGGTGCATTTTTCGGTTTCGGGCGTCTATTTTTCGCGAGATGATCCAAGATGCTCCTCGATGGTCCTCGAACGAAACAAATGCACACGTCCGAGCGATGCCAAGTTGACCAGCCCAGGGCACAGAGGGATAGCGGACAAGGGGGAGGGGGGCCCGATTCAACGAGGGAGGCATTCCTGACAAACCCTGGGAGACTTCATCCTGTTTGGTCTGGTTGCGTCTTGATGAGTGGGGAGATGGGCGGGGAGGCGTAGTCGAAAGAGGAAGACAATCGGGTGCGCGCGACTGTCCAAGGAGACGGTCTGGCAAAAAAATCGTGGTACAGATTTCGAGGTATCCCTTTGAACTGTTGCGAGTGGCAAGCATTATGTCGTTGGGCCGTGTCGTGAATGAACTTCAACATGTTCAAAATACCACATATGTCCTACAGGTGGGATTGAGAATCGGTGCTGGCTGTGCCTCTGGCAGACGCGGATCAAGTCTACGAGTCATGCGGCGCGAGCTTACTTGTCCCCTCGGCACGCTGTCAGGCGTTGCGTGGCCTTGCCAACAGAAATCATCGCAGCAAAGCGTGTGCGCGTCAACACGAAAAGGAAACCATTCACGCAAAACATTCTCCCAGCCCCCTGCAAACACTCTGTGTGTTTCGGATTGCTCTCGCTGCCAGTTGTCTGGATATCCTAGAGAGCGCATGGGGTGGCTAGCGGAGGCCTGATGAGCAAAAGGCGCTTGCGAGCGCCTTGGGGGAGATCAAGCAAACATGGACTGTGACTGAAACCTTTGGCGGGGACTTGAATACAATCAATCCGTATCCTCACGACGCACGATAAGGACGCAAGGGCCTTAGAACGCCATGCCGACACTTTGCGAGCGGGGCGCGGCCAGCGAAAGCGGCCAACGATGGGCCGAAGGGGAAGGATGCAAGAGCAACCTTGGACAAATGCTCATCCTTACAATGCACGCTGACTGTAAGCCCATCGTGAGGATTCTACGCAGCCCTGCTCTGGCCTCTCGCTCTGCTTCTTCAAGGCCCACGTTGCATGGACGATTCTCCCCTCGACGGGGCTGTTTGTTTAACTAGCCGTTGCTTTGTGTTCCCATGGGTATCTCCAAGGTTCCGAAGGGGGGGAGCCGAGGTTGAACTGATATGGCAGGCCATGTGCGGCGTTGTGGCGGGCGGCGGTATGGCAATCATCGCCCATATATGTTAATAGGCTGTGGTCGCGGGAAACTGTGACGCTGCGAAAGCGAAGACGCCCGTTGCTTCTTGGGAGTATCCCTTTTTCCTTTCGGTGCGATCATCTCTCAAATCGTATTTCAATCGCACCAACTATATTGAAGTCCTGAAGCGACTATTCGGTTGCAGATTCGCTCGTGGCCCACTCCTGCATCGGCGCTGGCATGCCCCAAAAACTTGTTTTGAGTATTGCCGGACCTAACGCGGCACTACTGCATTCTTTTTGTACTTACCTATTTGTAGTTACCTGGTGAAACTTCGTCCGTAATCGAACACGCTGAACAAATTTATTATTGACCATAACTGCAGTGCAGAATACCCCGCTTCCCGAATGGCACTCTCTTCAAATGTTTAGCCATAGTGGTGCGCACTGTGTGCAAGGGCCACTGCCAATCTCGGCGACGCTTGACAGCGTAGGGACTTCTGCCGTGCTCGTGATCGTTTCGCAGATTTAGAGCCTGTGGATTTGGCCATGATCGACCCAGCGGTAATCCTGAGCAGGACAATGTGTTTGGCACTTGTCCTTAAGCAGCGACTGCTGTAAGTGTTCTTACAACTGTTGAAAAGCGCACCCAGTGAGGCATCTGCTGACCTTGGTAGCCCACGTGGTGCCCAGCGCAGCCTGTGCGCGCAACCCATGGCGCAGCATCTGGAATGGATGCAGATCTGAGGGGTCGCGATTTGGTAGCCCGCCGGCGGTTTGGCCCAACTTATGGCGCTTCACTGCTGGCTTATGGCGCAACCTATGGAATGTAGACAAAGGGGAGAAGTCCTTATTTGGCAGCCCGACAGTGGTCTGGCGCAACTCATGGCATTTAACATGTGCCGCAACCTATGGCGCTACATATGCGTGGGAACCTAACCTATGGCACTGCATTGCAGGCAAACCCGGGACATCGCGATGTGGTAGCCCCGCGGAATCTGGCGAAACCTATGACGCTTACCATACGCCGCATGCTACAACGCAAGAAACGGAACTATACAGACTAGGGAATTCGCGTTTTGGTAGCCCGCGGGTGTGTGCCGCGACCTTTGTCGCAACTTGTGGCGACACCTACAGCGCAACACATCGAACTGTGACCATCGCGCGCGCTTCGCGCAATCTCAAATTCTATCTAACTTGGGCGCCAAGGCATCGCGCTGGATAGTGCCTGTGCCATGGGATCCCAGAGCTGCAGGGGACGATGGCGTCTTAGGCTCATCTAGGTGCCTTGTCGTTTGACACTGTATGGCCTTACTCAGGGACACCCTGGACCTGTTCCCCCCCGGAAAGATTAATGTTCCAGATTCGTCGAACAGCCACGACTACCACAGGGCAAGAACTGGCTTTCATGATCGAAGGGTCCTCTTGGCGCACTCTTACGACCGCTTGCATGGGAAGTGGGGGGAAAAGAAAGTGTTGAAGGGTGCATGGGGAGAAACATACACGTTCAGGGGTGAGTCTGCTCGGGATCTGGGGGGGGGTCACTCTGCAAGGGGGGGCGGGAGGACGCCATTCCCGACGCCATTCAGTGCTTGGGAGCCTGGGGGGGGGGTCGCTCTGCAAGGGGGGGGGGGGGGGACGCCATTCCGACGCCATTCAGTGCTCGGGAGCTGGGGGGGGGTTCGCTCTGCAAGGGGGGGGGACGCCATTCCCGAAGCCATTCAATGCTCGGGAGCTGGGGGGTGTGTTCGCTCTGCAGGAGGGGGGGGGTACGCCATTCCCGACGCAGTCAGTGCTCAGGAGCCTGGGGGGGGGGGGGGGTCGCTCTGCAGGGGGGGGGGGGGCGCCATTCCCGACGCCATTTCAATGTCGGGAGCCGGGGGGTGGCAAGGAAGCAGCGGGGGGGGAGTTCGCTCTGCAGGGGGTGGGGGGGGGAGCGCCATTCCCGACGCCATTCAGTGCTCGGGAGCCGGGGGGAGGGTTCGCTCTGCCAGGGGGGGGGGGTGGGAGGGACGCCATTCCCGACGCCATTCAGTGCTCGGGAGCCTGGAGGGGGGTCGCTCTGCAAGGGGCGGGGTGGGGGGACGCCATTCCCGACGCCATTCAGTGCTCGGGAGCGGGGCGGGCGATCTCGCCCTGCAAGGGGGCGGGGGGGGGGGATGGGACGCCATTCCCGACGCCATTCAGTGCTCGGGAACGGGGGGGGGGTCGCTCTGCAAGGGGCGGGGGGGAAGGGGGAGCGGACGCCATTCCCGACGCCATTCAGTGCTCGGGAACGGGAGACGGGTTCGCTCTGCAGGGGGCGGGAGGGGGGGGGACGCCATTCCCGACGCCATTCAGTGCTCGGAGGCCTGGGGGGGTTCGCTCTGCAAGGGGGAGGCTCGCCATTCCCAACACCACTCAGTGCTCAGGAACGGGAGGAGGGAGGGGGGGTCGCTCTGCAGAGGGAAGGGGAGGGGGAAGGACGCCATCCTCGGCGCCATGCAATGCTCGGGGCCGGGGGGGCTTCGCTTCAAACGGTCCCACAAACTCCCGGGACCGCGTCAAGACGGCTCAAAAGGTTCCCAAGCCCAAGAGGGCCCCACCAGGGCCCCAGAAGAGGCCCAAGAGGGCGAGCCCGAACCGAACATCCGCCGATCCGGCGTGTGAGTTTCTGAGAGCGTGGACTTGAGCTCGCTCAAGCTTCCCTCTGCATGAGGGGAGAGGGGGGACGCTATTCCCGACGCATTTAGTGCTCGGGGGCGGGGGGGGCACACCATTAAGGGGGGAGTGGTGGGGAGGCGCCATTCCCGACGCCATTCCCGACGCATTCAGTGCTCGTCTCGGGAGCGGGGGGGCCCACACCATTCCCGACGCCGTTCCGACGCTCTGATCCTGGAGGGGGAGGGGGCCGGCGCCATTCTAAACGCCATTCCCGACGCATGTCGTGCTTGCAAGACGCCTCCTAGACGCCCCAATAGGTATCTAACCACCTGCGAAGAGAGACCCACGAGGTCCAAATCGTCCAATTCCTATGGGAAGATATGCAATTTTACCTAGACGGCAATTCCGCCTTCACGACGTTGCCGAGTTTCCCAGAGTCCGCCGAGACCGTGTCAAGACGGCTCAAGAGGCTCCAAAGACGACCCCCAAACGGCCCAAGAGGGCGCCAGGACGGCCCAAGAAGCGCCCAAGTCGGCCCCAGAGCGCTCCAAGACGGCCCCAGGAGAGGCCCAAGAGGGGGAACCCGAACCGAAAATCCCAGCCTCCTCGCGAGGTTCTCAAGAGGCTCCAAGGAACCCGCAGAAGGCCCCAACAGGCCCCCAAGAACCCCCCAGGAGACCCCAAAAGGCCCCCAAGAGGCCCCAAGAGGCCCCGACCCCCAAGAGGCTTCCCCAGGTCTCTTGCTCAATCCCCTGCGCCTCAGCCCTCAAGCCTGAGGATTTTTGATGGGCCTGGACCTCACGCTCTCAAATCTCTTGGGGCTCCCCGCGCGCCCTCTGGGGACCCAGGAATGTTCCCGCATGAGTTGTTCGAGCCCAAGAGAGGCCCAAGACGGGCCAACAGGGCCCCAAGAGGCCCTCAAGACGGCCCAAGCATGCCCCGAATTACCGAACGCTCGGTCCAAGACGCCCAAAATGGCCCCATGGCCATTACCATGATAAACATCCCCTCCTCCTCCTCCTCCTCCTCCTCCTCCTCCTCCTCCTCCTCCTCCTCCTCCTCCTCCTCCTCCTCCTCCTCCTCTCCCTCATCCCTCTCCCTCATCCATCATCATCATCATCATCATCATCATCATCATCATCATCATCATCATCATCATCATCCCGAGCGCCCAGGATCGGCGGCACTGGCCGGA